GAACAAACCAAGCCAACCACCATGGTCATATTTCTGAGACACCTCCTCAAGAAGAGCCTCAGACAGGTCCTTCAGGAGGTGTTCCCGAGGAAGGCGCTGCCGTCAGTGGGGATGATAGCTGCACGCGTGTTCTTGCCCCGAGGCTCGTCCAGAGGGACAGCCGTGGGGGCGGAAGACAGTGGACTGAGGGTCCTGAGCCTGTGTGGGCCCAGACTAGTGTATGCGCTTGTCTTACTTTTTTGCAACGAAGTTTAAAAACAAAAAAAAATAAGTAGGAAGAAGCATATAAGAACATAAAGAAAATATTTTGTACAGCTATACAATATGTTTTCATTTTAAGCTATGTTATGACAAAAGAGTCAAAAAGTTGACAAAATTTAAAAGTTTATAAAGTTAAAAAGTGACAGTATCCTAGGTTAATTTATTATGAAGGAAAAAATTGTTCACACACTCAGTTTAGCCCTGAGTGTGCAGTGTCTGCAGGGTCTCCAGCGGTGCACAGCCACGTGCTAGGCCTTCACATCCCCTCGCCACTGTTCACCACCTCACCCAGAGCAGCTTCCAGTGCTCTACTTATGGAACTCGCCCTCTACCAGTGTCCCGACTTTTATGTTAAATTATATTTTACTGTGTTTTTTCTTTGTTTAGATGCACAAGTACCATTGCGTTACAGTTACCTACAGTATTCAGGACAGTAACCTGCTGAAAGCCTGTAGACCAGGAGCAATAGGCTTCCACCACACAGCCCAGGTGTGTAGTGGGAGCCAGGTTTGTGTAAGAGCACTCTGTGATGTGCACACAACGACAAAATCACCTAACAACATATTTATCAGAACATATTTGTTGTTAAGCACAACTGTGGTTGCTTCCGATCTACAGTGTGCATGTGAACCACAGAGGGACCTGGTTAACGTGCAGATTCTGCTTCAGTAGGTCTGGGTGGGGCCTGAGATCCTGCAAACACTCCCCCCACTGGCCGGCCAGCAGCCCACGCTTTGAGCAGCAAGGCCAGAGGTAGAGGCAAGAGAGTCCCCATCACTGGAAACAGATTTCCTCACTGAAAATGAAAAAATTGGATGCTGTTCAGAACTGCAGTCACCCAGGAGGCAGTTCCCAAGAGCCAAAGCCCCTTGTTGGGCCCCAGAATTCCTTAATTTCTGGGCCTGCAAAGCTGAGGAGCAGGCCCAGGCTCTGGTTACTCCCCCAAGACAGGCAGCTTTTTCTCCAGCTTTGCCCACCAAACCCTGTGGGGTTCTCTCCTCAGAGAGCGTTTGTTCTCCAGCTGAGGGTTCAGATGAGCGTAGCGAGGAGCTCTCAGCTGGCTGGGGGTGGGCGTGTCTTGTGGAGAACGAGAGGTTCTGCAGCGTGGGAGGGCTGTGGGATGCATGTCCTGGCACAAGCTCTTGTGCTCTGGAAATGTTTGCTGGGAGAGTGAATGATAAATAAGGCTGGAAGAAGAGCTGTGTGGCTGGATACAGGAGTGGGCGGTCTGGCGGAAGTAGAAGGTTGACTTTGCCTCCTTGGTGGTGATGTTCACGGCTGGGCTTCAGTGTGAAATTCCAGGTGTAGGGAGTTTGTGTTTTGTGAGGGCATGGGTTGGTCAATCTTGTTGATCTGTCAGATTCATAGCAGACTATTTGTCGAATGAATGAATTAATGAATAGAAGAAGAGCTAGGGAAAGTGATGGCGTGCCTGAAACTGTTGCCCTTCACCTCCTCCTTGGGCCGGCTGTGGGAATGACTCACATCCGGCTGCCCACTCACTCTCTCAGCCTAAAGCCACATGTCCTGGGGTGTGTGGCAGTGAGCCGACCCCGCCTTGTTTCTGCTACAGGATCTTCATGACACAGAATTCCTGAGTTTCTAGCATTTCTAGCAAGTTGCCTTGTATCCCTGCTTTCCTGGCATGTGCTGAGAAGCTCAGCCTGGAGAAAACAGGGTCTCAGTTTAGGTTTCCAGAGAGGTCATTCTGAAGAAGTGTTCAAGGACACTGGGCTGTGCTGAAGTTGGGTCAGGGGGGAACCGGAGATGCCAGGACTATTTCAAGCTCCAAAAGCTGTGCTTCTGCCCCCTCTGTCTGGGTCCTGAGTCACATCACACCCAAACGTGTGAATTCAAAGCCAAAGGGAAGAGACTAGGCGGAGAGCAGTCGGGGAGGAGGCATGTAAAGTCTGGAGTGGTGAGGGGGGGCAACTGCCCACGCCTTGTGTTGGTGGAGGAACAGGCCAGTTTGCCTGGCAAAACCAAAATCCAGCTCTTTTTTGCTGTGGGACGCTGGCCTGAAACCACCCCAACCAGCGAGTCTCTGCATCACAGCTTGGCTGTCTGGGTGCTCTCTGCATCCTCCCCCTACATGCCCTCTCTGTCTGGAACTTTCTGTGGACCTTGTGGCGGCAGAGCCATGGATACTGGGTGCACAGTCCTTCGTGATGCGGAGTGAGGGTGGCCACACCCAGTGCAGATGGAAAGGGGTGGTGGTGATGCTGATGTGTGGTCCTTGAGATGTTATTTTAAATCTACTGCTGCAGGGCTTGACCATAGGTGGGGGCAAGACAGATTTCCTTTTTATTCCTTTTTTTATTGTATTTTCCCCCATTACCATTTAGTCCCCTTGTACTCCCTCCCCCCTGCAATCACCACACTGTTGTCCTTGTCCATGAGTGCTTTTTCCTCTTCGATTAAAGATTTCCTTTCTTGAGAAGTCTCAAGAGAACAGCTGCCAGTGACTCTAAGACATGGTCAGGCCCCTGCGTCAACTGCAGTTCTGAAGAGAGCATGTGCCCTGGCTTCCTGCCTCTTCCTACTGGGAAACTGTGGGCAATCTCAGAGTCAGGTCTCCTAGAAAGGTCCTTTTCTACTCCAATAGGATTTGAAGAGGCTTAAAATATAGACTGTAAAAGCAACAGAGTGAATTTTTAAAAAAGAAAAAAAAGGGGAAGTAAATGTGTTAACCTAAGTGCAAATAAGAGCTAACACCCAAGGCCATTATGTTTGCCTCTGCCCTTACTGACACCCAGGGAATAATAGCACTTAGAAACTTGAACTTTGTTACATTCCTCACTGGTTTCACTGCTGCTTCATCACCTGTGCCTCAGTTACTTCACCTGTAAAATAAGGTAAAAGTGCATCATCAGAGGCATACTGAGAATGTCACATAAGGTAATACATACAGAGCACCCAGAATGATTCCTGGCACAGTAGGCATACAATTGCATTGTAGATACAGTTATTACTACTTCATTCATCTGAGACTATAGCCAAGCAGAGGGCAGGGGTGGGTAGAGAGGGGGATGTTCTCATCTCCTCAAAGGCTTCCACCTTCTCCTCCCTGGACATCCCCCCCCACCCCACCCCTCCGCTCCCATCCAAGTCCTAACAGACAGCCTCTGAATTGCCTTTGGTCCTGGCTCCATGGTGTTTGCATCCCCACTGAAGTTCCCCTTCATCCAAGTAGACTATTTTCAGGATGCTTGCTTTGTGCCTATATTTAAAGTAAAAGGCAGAAACTAGACATCTTGGTGCTATTGCCATTGTTTAGGCTATTATTATTTAATGCTCACCTAGCTATATATATTGAATTACTGGAAAAATATATTTTTTCTATTATCTGGAGCAAAGTGTACTTTTAAACATTTATTCTGTAACATGCTTTAGAGGCAGCCCCTCAGAACATGACAAACATACTTTCTTAATTTTTGACTATAAGCTATGTGGCAACCAAAGCAATTGAAACATTTAGGTAAAGCCTACACCTTAATTAAGAATTAAAATTCTAGCCCTGGCTGGCGTAGCTCAGTGGATTGAGCGCGGGCTGGGAACCAAAGTGTCCCAGGTTCGATTCCCAGCCAGGGTACATTCCTGGGTTGCAGGCCAGAACCCCCAGCAACCGCACATTGATGTGTGTGTGTCTCTCTCTATCTCCTTCCCTTCCCTCTCTAAAAAATAAATAAATAAAATATTAAAAAAAAAAAGAATTAAAATTCTAGCTCTCCAAAATACTAGGAGCATTAAAATCACAAGGGGCTCAACTATAGTCACATGCCTAGTGAGTAGCAGAGCCGGTGGTCTGGCCTTACAGTCTGTGTTTAACCAGTGGACAAGACGGCCTCACTAAGGTCCTAGAGAGTGTGTGCCAACACCTGGATTCTAACACACCCTTAGGATCTCTGCCCTGTGTTCAGCCATAAGGTCAGAACCCAGTGTCATTGTGTGTGAACCCGTGGTCCTCATACCTCCTCTTTTTTCCCACTTTCGAGGCACTGTAACTTCTCTCCATAGGCAGAGCCCTGCGTTTCCTCCCCTAGGGGAAGATGAAGGCAGCCAGACCAAGGCCAGTCCAGGTCTCTAAAGGCATTTCTCCCCAGGTGAGGTGGTAAAGACCCACCTTACTTCCCCTTTTTACTGAGGTTGGCAGAGGCACTGAGCTGTCCAGGGGAAAGGATTAAGATCATTCTAGAGCCTGAATACGTGGACAGAATTCACTTGTAGTGCAAGGGGATTTCTGTGGAATCTCCCACTCCCCCAAATCCACTCAAGGGGCTTGGATGGTGCTCTCTCACCTGGATGGATGATCATCTGGATGGATATTTGAATGGCTGCCCCACCACCTCCACCACCTCCACCACCTCCACCACCTCCCACAGCAGTGGTCCAGCAAGCGTTTGCCAACTTTAGGAGTTACACCACTGATGGGCCAAACTATGCCCATGGACAGAATGAAAAAACATAATAGGAAGAGTTCTAGGTAATTTCCTTATAACTGCTTTGAAAATTGTTTTAAATGGCAGAACTCTGAGGACCTTTAACAGATGAGTCCATTTATTCAAGTTTTTCATAACCTTGAAATGAAGTAGGGTTGCCCTGGCCAGCGTGCCTCAGTGGGTTGCAGGTTTGATTCCTGGTCAGGGCACATCCCAGGTTGTGGGCTCCATCCCACATTGGGGTGTGTGCAGGAGGCAGCCAATGGCATCTCTCTCTCACAAAGATGTTTCTCTCTGCCTTCCCTCTCTGTTGAAAAAGTAGGGTGGAGGGAGGAGGTGGATGCCACAATTGCATCTGAATTGCACTCCAGGATCAGTGCTCCTGGACATGCACTTTGTTCCTCAGGACATGACCTTGGGACCTAGGGCCCTAGAGCTTTGTAAATTACTCACACAAGTCCATTATAGCTAGGTTAGAGGATGCTCAGGTGGAGTTTGACCTTGCACAGATGGCTCAGACATAGCAACGACTGAGAGTATCTTTGTTTCTGCTCTTCAGTGTGCAGCTGCTAGAGGTGGCAAGAGAAGGGGGAGGACTCTAGAACATTCTAAGCCCGGTTGGTCTTTCTGGTTGGAATTCTTTAGTCTCACTACAACCCTGACAAGAGACCACGACCTTACTTTTCCATGGCTTAATTTCAAGCTGTATGATGATGAAATGCCACCAAATGTGCAGAGCCAATTTTATTAATGTGAAAACCACACCATAGAGCACATAGAGACCAGAAGTCAATATTTTCTGGGTGGGATGCAAAGAGAACATGACCTTCCATACTTTTCTACATCCTAAAACAGGTATATTCAGGGACGAGCGAACCGGGAATTAGCATTTACTGAACGCCCTGCGTTCTAGCCACACTGAGACACTGAATTTCCGCTACAAGGCAGGTACTGATCTCTAACTAAACTGCCATTCGTGGCGCAGCGGGAGACTTGGATGACGCAGTGTAGCGAGCAGGAGTCAGGACTGGACTCCGAATCGGTGTCCTTTTTCACACACGGCCGTGCCGCAGAAATTACAGACGTTCGTGGAAGTGCACGGGGGACAGTCAGCTCTCGCGGATGGCTTATTCCCGTGGCTGTCCACTCTGCCTCAACCCGGTGCGCGGCTGCGGGAGCAAAGCCAGCGGGTGAGCTTCTCCCTCCTCCGGGACGGGGCAGCACCAGTCTGGCCAAGGGCATCACAGGGGCGACCACATGCAGGGACTGAACCCGCCGCGTCACCGACAAGGTGCGGACTCCGGACGCGGCGGGTTTCAGATGTGCTTGAAGTGCGGTTTCGGCAAGGCCCGCACGGTAAAACCGAAGCTTAACGGAGAAGCCAGGAACAATCGTGGTCGCAGCCTCTACAATACCGCAGACGACCCCCACAGTCAGCCCGCTGTACTATCAGACCCGCCAGGCGCGGCAGCTCACCTCCTCCCGGTGCGATCAGCTGTTCACGGGGCCGTGGCCCCCAGCGCTCCACTGGCCAATGAGCGCTGCCGCCGGGTTTTCCCGCTGGGCACGACCCGCCCGCGGGCTTGAGTCACCGGGGGCGGAGCTTCCGCGGCTCGCGCGCGCGGGCGCGCGGTGGGTCACGTGGGCCGCGCGCAGTCTATAAGGTGCGGAGACTGCGAGTGCCATCTGGGTGATGGCTGCCGGCGTGCGTTCCCGGTTTGTCCTCCTCGGTTGCTGAGACTCCGCTGCTTCCCGGAGGTTCCAACCCCACCTGCCGTGTGCTCGCCGCCTGGACCTCCCCGTCCCGCTCCGCCCTGGTCTTCTGTGGTGAGTGGGGCGCCGCGATGACTGGCACCCTCTCCCGGGCGGGGTTCAGGCCTCTTGTTGTACACCTCCACCCAGACCGCGGCCTTTTTGGCGGTCCCGGCGCGCGGGAGCAGGAGCTGCCTGTTCTGCTGCCCGTGGAGGGTTCCTGGGCGGGCGCGTGGAGCGGCGCGCCACGTGCTGGCCGCGAGTCCTGCCGCGGGCGGTGGGCAGCGGGCGGTGGGCGTATGCCAGCGTGGTTTCGTGTCCCCCCAGGATGATCCCGCGTCCCCGCGCGTCCCCGTCATGGCCTTCCGCGCCGCGCCGCTAGTTCCCCGGAGCCCGAGGCGTCCCGGACCACAGACACCCGCGCGCAGCGTATAGCAGTGACCAGCCCGGTGTCTGCCGCAGTTTACAGTATTTAATTTTATATAATATATATTATTTATTAGAGCGTTTGTGATACCTCATACTCATTCTGTTTACACGCCTGAAAGCCACGCAGTAGTTGTTAGGTAAGGCCGCTGCTCTGAGGATGGCGACCACCGCGACCACGCTGGTGGCCAGCACCGTGGCCGCTGGCCCGCTGGTGGACTACCTGTGGATGCTGATCCTGGGCTTCATCATCGCCTTCGTGCTGGCCTTCTCCGTGGGCGCCAATGACGTAGCGAATTCGTTCGGCACCGCTGTGGGTTCTGGGGTGGTGACCCTGAAGCAGGCCTGCATCCTGGCTAGCATCTTTGAGACCGTAGGCTCTGTCCTGCTGGGAGCCAAAGTGAGTGAGACCATCAGGAAGGGCCTGATCGACGTAGCCATGTACAAATCACGCCAGAAGCTGCTGATGGCCGGATCAGTCAGTGCCATGTTCGGTAAGTTCTGTGACATGTCATTCTCTCTGTGTTGGGTGAGCAAATGCCTGTCCTATACTTTTAATGTGAGACTGCAATGCGTACATAATGGAATTTTGCCATTTACTAAATAAAACTTGACTGTGTTTCAGGTTCTGCTGTGTGGCAACTAGTGGCATCGTTTTTGAAGCTTCCCATTTCTGGGACCCATTGTATTGTTGGTGCGACCATTGGTTTCTCTCTTGTGGCAAAAGGTCAGGATGGTGTCAAGTGGTCTGAGCTGGTAAAAATTGGTAGGTTTAATTCAGAATGGCTTCTTAATTTTTATTCTTGGCATGGTCCAAGGTACTATGTATAGGAGTATATTGTATAAAAGGGAGACACACGCTAAAGTTATGAAAACAATACTGAAATTGAAAGTGTGTTTTGGTTCCAGCTTTTCATTAGTTGACATTTTTCTTAATGTGTTCTATTCCAGTGTTGTCTTGGTTTGTTTCTCCGCTGCTTTCTGGTATCATGTCTGGAATTTTATTCTTCCTTGTTCGGGCATTCATCCTCCGTAAGGTAATCTTTCTCTCCTCCCTTCCCCTCCCTCCCAACCCCTTTATGCCCTTTTATGAGTCACATTCAGTGGTATTCAAACCAATAGCATTCTTGCAAATGTGATTGATACGTGGGTATATGGCCTTTGAAAGCTGAAAAATTCTTTACCGTCTATACACCTTTTATATGTTGCTGTATTCTCTGAAAGAATCAAGCTTTCTGTACCTAAGAGGGCATTCGGGAGGGAGAATTGAATGAGTGCTGTGCTGTGCCAAGGAATGGGAGAGACTGGAAGCGGAAAATTAGGGAAGTGTATTTAGGATTGCTCTAACTGTGTGCAGATTATTACTTATAGAATTAAAAAAATAAATTTATTGGGGTAACATTGGTTAATAAGATCATACAGGTTTCAGGCATACATTTCTATGATACTAGGTCTGTATATTGCACTATGTGCCCACCACCTAAAGCCAGACCATCTTCTGTCACCATGTATTAGGCCCCTCTCTACCCCTACCCCCTCACTTTCCTCTGGCAACCACGACATTGCTGTCTGTGTCTGTGAGTTTCAGTTTTATATCCCACATATGAGTGAAGCAGATTACTACTTTAAACCACCATTGTGCAGAACATTTTGAATCGTAAGCTTGGGGTTCAGCAAGTCACAATTTTCCTGTGGCTTTTTCTTAGTGCCACTGAAGTAGTAGTGCGGGTCTGCACAATTAATTCAGTAGAGCTGATTATCATAGCCTGTTTATAAGCTTCTTGGTGGGGAGTCTACTTCTCACAGTGCCTTTACTGGTTCTGACTAGGTAAAAAGAACCAGTAAAGGTAGTTTTTCTTGGCCAGAAAAATAATCCAGACAGCCATTTAATTTCCTGTCCTCTTGAAAATCCCTTTTCAGGGACTCGATAGCGTTTCTTTTATCAAGAAGTCTGTTGCTGGCTCCAAAGTGGACAAGAAAGGGTGTTGTCATTGGACTGAGTTACAGCAAGAATAAATGCATTTTTCTAAGGAAACAAAGTTGTCCTTTTTCTGAGGTGAATAGCTCTTAACTGTCCATTGTAAGTTCCTAAAAATGCTTCTAAAGTGTAGAAATCTGAGTGAAGGAAGATAGGTAGCTTAATCCTCAGGAGTAAGAAGAATATGTTTAGACTCACTTGTTGGCTCCGGTTCTGGGCTTCTCTAGGGAAAGATTTGAACCTCTTTATAGAAACTGTGACTGGTGAACTGATTCCTGATCACTGTTTCCCATGGCATGAGTCTGGCAGAATAAAGCAGTTCAGTACTTTGAAATCTTACAACATTTGTAGCCTGGAATAATTTAAACGGAAACAGTTCGTTGGTATTTACTGGTGCTGTTTATACAGCAAGCTGACGTGATTGCACCTACTCTTTCCCTTCCCACAGCTGTATCACACGACGACGTGATGCTTAAAGTGGAGGCTAACCACTAGGCTCAGACTGGATGTTTTAGTGTTCCTGTAGAGTCGCACAGCTTCACACCAGAGAACCTGGGGAACTGACAGAATCCCTTGTTAGGGGTCCTGTTTATGTAAAAGTTTTACACCAGGTCTCTGTTGATTGGTTATTGGGAAGCAGATGCATCTGATTCTGGAGTGGTTTTGTGGGTCTTGGGACAAAAAAAAACTTGCCTTCTTTCTGGGGAGTGGTGGTTCTCTGAGGTACAGAGGGAGATTTTGAGGTGCCCAGACCTCTTGTTTGAGGAATGCATGCCAGGTATTTTTACCCCCAGTTACTGAGAACTTCAGTGAGATGTCTTAACTTCTTAACCCTATATTCCTTGTTTGGGTATGAGGGCGGACATGATCAAAAGTGACTGAAATAGTGTTTTGAAACAACACTGAGGATCTTCCTCACCTTTAACCCCCTCCATCTTCCTGCCCTGGGGTGCTTGTTCTTGCACATCCACTGTATCCAGTGTTTCAGTAACATGGGTTTTCAGGCAATGAGTGTGCATACTTCTGGTAAGGTAGGTTTTAAATCTCAAGAAACATCCTTAGGTGACTTTTGAGGGTCCTGGCTGTTAAAAGTCTTCCAACCTAAGTTTTTGTTTTGGAAATTGTCATTGAAATTGCTTATTTAAAAAAAAAACTTTTATTTTTAGAGAAGGGAAGGGAGGGAGAAAGAGAAGGAGAGAAACATCAATGTGCAGTTGCCTGCCATGTGCCCCCCACAGGGGGTCTGGCCCTGAAACCTAGGTGGGTGCCCTAGACTGGGAATTGAACTGGTGACCCTTTGGTTCTCAGGCCAGCACTCAATCCACTGAGCCATACCAGCCAGGACTGAAATTGTTTTTTAAGAAGTTTCTATTCTCTAAATGTTTATTCCAAGGGCATTGAGTAGTATAGTAGGAAAAAACAGAATGGAGGTGAGATACTTCTCTAAGAACTGGGGCGATAAACAGGAATAGGGGAAGGTGAAGTTTTCCTGTTGGGTATTTAAATTCTAGTCAAAGAAAATGGGTCTTTCAGTATTCTCCCTTCTATTAGGAATCACACTGAATATATCTAGGACATCTTTTCAAACTCAGAGGAAGCTTTTCTTTAGACAATACTTGCTGGAACATTAAATATGTAAAATATAAAGCTGTTCTGGTTTAAAGATGGGAGGGTTGTGGAGACCCCTTTCCTAACACACGTAAGTGGATGATGAGACACATTTCCAGGTGAAGTTTTGGGGGTCGGGTACAACAGGAATAAATGGTAATGGAAAAATACAATAAAAAATAAATTTTAAAAAGTTTTGAGGGAGTGTTAGATGGGCCACAGGGTAATAAGTATCTCATAAAATTGTCAGTCCTGGTTACCTCTTGGGAGAGACTGAGGAGTCTAGAGTGAAAGGGAGAGCTGGGTTGCTGAGGTTTCTCCTTTTTCCTAGCCTTTTACGAACCTTGACTTTTTAAAACCATGAACCTGTCATTTCATAATAAATTATTATTAGTGTCATTCATTCCCTTTCCTGTCCCCAGGTAGTGTATTACTGGTTATGTTGGAATATATAACTGCTATACAGAAAAATAAACAAATACATGGGCTCCTTCCTCTTTGACGAACCAGTTATCGTTTGATACCAAAATACCAAATATTATTTGAAAATCTGTTAAGTCCCTACCTGAGTCTGTGGAACCCTAATGGGTTTTGATTGGGGTGGGGGTCTTAAGTTCCTTGGAGAGTTTTCTTAAACCACAGATACTTCTAAAAGAAAAATGTATATACACCTCAAGTTCATAACCTATCAACTACCCTTGGGGCATGACCCACGTTGGTGAGTTGCTCAGGGATGCTTTACCAGTGCCTGGGTTCTGTACTGTATTTATGGTTTTCATTTTGGCTATTGATCTGTAGACAAGGGGCTGAAACTCCAGCGTGCTTTTCCGTGAGGGCCCATCTCCACTGATGTGGATCGGCGCCTCTTTCTCGTTTCATTGATCTTAAGCCGCTGCCTCCCTCTTCCGAGTGTATTGGCTAATCCTACTGGAAGCTTTAGGATCATTTTTGGGCCTTTCCCTCTGTCTCTCCCTCCCCAAGGTTTTCCCTTGGGTTGTGATCAAGAGAGCAGTAAACCTTTCGCCTAACGTGGTTCTAGTTTAGCCTTTCCTTGTGTTCAGGCCCACGTTCTTCATTCGTTTAAGTGTTTGACTTCAGTGTTTTTCTATAGAAATAATACACATTTCTTGTAAGTGGAACTCTTGTCTCCAGTTGAATTGGCCTCTTTGCTGTTCCTTAAATACTTCAAGCTTTTGCCTCAGGGACTTTGCACTTGCTGCCATTGTTGTCTAGAAAGACCTGCCCTCCCCCGCCCCCCACCCAAGTACCCTAGGTGTATACAAGCTTGTTGAGTTACGCATTTGTGTCTTTGCTCCACCAGTACTCATCCCCCCTTCTTGAATTAAAATGTCCTCCTCCTTACATTACTGCCCCCTTACCTATCCTTCTTTATACCTTAAGACAGAACTTGGTATTACTCTGTGCTGGAATATAGTTGTTAGTTCTTTGAGAGCAGGAACTCTGTCTCATTCACCCCTGTATTTCAGTACCCACAATAGTGCTTGGCCCAGTCTGTTGAATGGTGGGTAATCTAGCACGTGATTGGTCTTTATGTTAGGGCTTCAGTAAATCATTACTAACGGTGTGCTTATCAGATGTCTAGATGAGGTAGTTGTTAATAGGTAGGTATACTCTACTACATACTGTATTTTAAGAAATCTTTGCAGGTATATAGTCAGGTGAGAAATGTTCTAACATCCCATGGTCTGCTTCTTGACACCTCTTATAAATGTCTAGTGCACCATCAGGTGTGTGCTTAGATTTGTATCTGGACAACAGGTACCTTAGAACCCTGGGTGTTGAAACTGAATTTTTGGGACATTGCCTACCAGTGACTAGCATAGGTAGTCTTGTTAAAACCTGGGCAAAAAAAACAACTAAACAACCCCCCAAAAAACAACCAACCAAACAAACAAACATAAACTTAAATTCGGGTAGCTGGAGATCAGCCTTGATAGCCAGACTTCCAGGAACAGAGGTAGAAAAGCCTACTGGCTTTGGGAACTAGTGTGAAGAAACGTATTGGCACTGGAATTCCTGAATCTCCCCTTTTACAAGACTCTGTAGATAAGGGTTAATCTTCACAACTTATCAAGGTGTTAATCTTAATGTTATTTTACAGGCAGATCCAGTTCCTAATGGTTTGCGAGCTTTGCCAGTTTTCTATGCTTGCACGATTGGAATAAACCTGTTTTCCATCATGTATACTGGAGCACCTTGTAAGTACATATCAAAATATTTAGATGTAAATTTAAAGTTGTTTACAAAACTTGCATTAAATGCCCGATTTACCCCTTTTTGCTTTACAGGGCTGAAATCTCCTAGAAGGTGGCTGGCCTGCACCCATTTCAGAAGGCTGCAGGCTAGTGTATGCTGAGTTAACCTAGATAGTTTTTCAACCAAAGAGACCTGCTCAGATTCTAAATCACTACAGACCTTTACTCTTTAGTCTTCACAGGACCCAAGATAATACGGTCTTCTCCCTCCCTTTCTCCTGTCTATGTTAAAATACTGGCACTGGTACGGGCCTCAACTGCCGACTGCTGAAGAGACCTTAGTTATATCTGGTCTCCAGTAATCAGCCATTTAGCACTGGTATGCTGGATATTTTCATTTTTCTCTCCCAAATGGAGCTACTTTTGTTTCTAAGTACTAAATTTACTCCCCTGAACCTGCTCGAATGAGAAGAGTTGGGATGTTTAACACCTGGTCTAAGTGCACGTGGAAGAAGAATTCATGCAGCTAAGAGGAAGAGTAATTTGTGAGAATGTAAAGATGGAAATACTGATTCTGTTGGGGGCTAAGGCAATTTCTGGGTTAAGTTATGATGCATGTTTAATTTAGCAACTGAAAAAGATGGACAACTTGTGACTTGTCCGTTAGGGCTGTGCCTGTGCTGATCAGCTCAGGCAAGCATCCAGATTCGTTTGGCCTGAGGGTCTTTGACCTTCAAGTCAGTGCTTTTCAATTTTGACTGATGCACTGGACGGAATACATGTGTTGTGCTGCCCAGGACACACGTGCATACAGCAAGGATGAGGGGAAGGGGGTCTGGAAGCTACTCGACTTTACAGTGATGCTGTGCACTCATATTTTCAAGTAATTCTTTTTAGTTTAGTTTTTTTTAATACTTGTGGCCCAGTAAAATGATTTCATTTCTGACTAATGGATTACCTCACTGAAGTAATATCACCAGTCAAAAATGGAGTTAGCTAAGTACATTGAACCTTTGTCCTTATTCTAGTAAGAGTCAGGAGAGATAATGGACACCTTGATGAGGATATTGATCTTCCTTAGGGCATACCAGCCACCCTTCCAAACAACGCAGGCACAGCCGAGCGTGCGTGCAGCGTTCCCTCCCGTCTCCAGTCGGCTCCTTCGTGCTGACCTGAGGCGTTTCCGAGAGGCTCTCGGTGCTGGTGTTTCATGTAGCGGCCGCAGAGCTCATCATTCAGTGAAGTCAGAAACTACCCTTTCCATCATTTTTGAAAAGGGAACTTGGATGTTTTTGTTCTGACCTTTGTGGATTATTTACAATAAAAAAAGCAGTCTCATTTCCCCGTTTTGACATGGAACATGGGCAAATTTTAATTGTGTTGGAAATAGAGTGAATTTCATGTGTGTTTTAGTTTGTATGACTTAACTACATGATCAAGCTTGATAGCAGGAATTAAAGTGGAAATATTATAGTCACTGTAAAACTTTCATTTGGAAGGGTCCTCAATTTATATCTGATTTTTAAGCAGTAATCATTTTGGGGTGCCAGAGAATTTCTATTTTTTATAAATAATTTAATTCCTAATAAGCAAAAAAAGCAGAACAACCATTGTAACTAAGCTCTTCTTGGATAAACTAGAAATCATAACATCTTTTAGGCTTAAATAAGATTCTTTGGTGTTTTGCTTCTGTTATTAATAATACGCTTTGGAGCCTATTGGCATTTCAGTGATAAGCAGATGGTGACTAATATTAATGATTCCTGAGCCTTACAAAAAGTAGGCAAGTTTCTAAGATACAGCTTATGAGTGAAACTGCCACTAAACTGTTTCCCTTTTGTGAAAGGCAGCCTTTTGAACTGTTCCAACCTTTTGATGGATAATATCCCTGTTTTTTATCTTAGTTTGGTAATGAGTCTAAGAGATAATCTTGTTAAAGAATTGTGCTGGAGGCCAGCACAGTGGCTGTGATAACTCCACAGAGAATTACCTCAGTATGATGGGTGTGACCATGGGCACCCTTCCAACGAAATATGCTCCATCAGCCACCGTCTGGAGGCTGCGGGTGTGGTTCCATTTTTTCATAATAGTTGTAGGTTCTCAGATTATGGTAATTCCCACCATTGTGGAAAGCAAAGAAAGGAAAAAAGCTAGTTTGTGAAAGAGCTTGGGAGACGTCAGTCCAGCAGGTGTTTAAAGTGGGCCATAGCGGTGTGGGTTCAGGTGACAACTGGATTTCCCTCCCCCCTGTACAGCCGCGAGCACAGTAGTAGACCCTGTGGACCTGAGGCTGGCAGCCGCTGTCAGGGTGTGGGGCTGGCTGGGGGGGCCTGAATCCCCACAGGAGGGTGTACTCACTGTTGCAAGGGCTATAGCCCTGGGTTTTCAAGATGCACCTTTTATCTCCTAGTGCTGGGCTTTGACAAACTGCCTCTGTGGGGCACCATCCTCATCTCGGTGGGATGTGCAGTTCTGTGTGCTCTTATCGTCTGGTTCTTTGTCTGTCCCAGGATGAAGAGGAAAATCGAACGTAAGTAACACGTCATAACAGAAAGTCTAACTTGTAATGTTGTGCTTATTACTTTTTGTTTGGCCACCTGTACAAATCCACTGTTTGGTTAGATTGGCAAAGTCAGAAATTTTAAATGGGTATTGGAGGGTATGGGCTTGTTGTCCAAAGTATGTTCTGACTGACTGACAATGACATGAGGCTGGTTCGAAGCAGTGTTGTGCCTGTGCTTTGGTCACACGCTGGGCATTTAATCTATGATTTTACTGTGCCTTGGTCACTTGCCAATGATAGACAAATACAGACTTTGTACCCTATATTCAGTGAGAATACTTAAGGACACTTCAGGGTACCTTAACGAAAAATAAGGGGCAGATACAAAATGCTTTCATAGAGGAAACATTTCCTGAATTCTGTGTATGACTTCAGATTTAGACATTCAAAGCTGTGGTCAGTGTATATATCTGAATTGACTGTTCTCAGAATTGTAGCACAGACTCGAGAGGTGAACGTTTTCGAGCGTCAGGCATCACTCGGGCAGGCCATCCCTGCACACAGTATCACAGTGTAGTTAAGCACTAAATAAATTTTAGTTAGTGTCAGTCTTAAATCTTGTATTTTTTCCTTTCTGGTGGAATTCTCTTAATATAGCCTCTTTTTGCCCAGTTCACTTGCAAATGCTCGGTTAGTGGTTGAGTTTGCTCTCTGGAAGGGAGGCAGCCCTGGCTGCAGTGGCCTTGGGAGCAGTGCTGTGTCATGCGGCTGCACCGAGGTGCCCGAGTGCACAGTGGGAGCGGGGGCCTCGGGACTCGCTGACCCTCGGGACTCGCTGACCTTGTTTCCCCTCAGTCTGGGGAAGACGACACAAATCTCACTGATGTTGTATATCCTGGTTTGTGGCTCGACTGCGATGCCCAAACGGGCATGTACACACGCTGGGCGTTGGCAGGACGGGCAGAAGTTACTCCTGCCTGGCTGTGGAATTTAGAATCATAGGTGTACCTCTGTGTCACAGAAGTGGAAGTTAAAGTGGTCGCCTTTAGCTGCCTGCAACTGGACGTGTTGCTTGGCTTAAACTGATGGAGGGGATTTTGGGGGAATTCCTTTTTTAAAAACATGAACTAGATACAGGCCAAGTTTTTAACCCTTCGCCAGACCTGGTTTGAGTTACCTTTCACTACAGAACAGGCCGGCAGGGAGCTAAGCATGGTTTAAGTGTAAAGGGCTTGTAAAGCACAAGACACTCTGGTCCTTTACGCAAAGACTTTGTAACCTCTGATGCAGGGTGTCCTGCATTGCTGATTTCCTCCCAGGAAATAAGAGATGTGGCAAGTACAGGCAGGAAGGTTATTTTGAGTTTTTACTGAAGTTCACATATGTTCATGTTTTGAGATGGATTCTTTTTGAGGTGGAGAAAGGGGAAAAGTGGAACAAGTTGGTGTGGTCAGGACCAAACAAAAACTCGTTCTTTTCCAGGAGAAATAAAGTCTAGTCCTTCAGAAAGTCCCTTAATGGAAAAAAAAAATAGCTTGAAAGAAGAGCATGAAGAGGCAAAGTTGTCTCTCAGTGACGTTGAAAGCAGGAGTCCCAGCTCCGAGACAGGGCCTGCCACCGTGCCCCTACGGGCTGTGGTGGAGGAGAGGACTGTCTCCTTCAAGCTGGGAGACTTGGAGGAAGCGCCGGAGCGAGAGCGACTTCCCAGTGTGGACCTGAAAGAGGAAACCAGCCTGGACGGGGCCATGAACGGTGAGTGGAATTTCTTGGGTGGGGAAATAGTTTCACTTTTCTGCTGGTGTGGAGGCTCACTGGGTCCTGGTGCGCTTTGGGTTGAGTGTCACCTTTCGTTCTTGACCAGGTGCAGTGCAGCTGCCGAATGGGAACCTCGTTCAGTTCAGCCAGGCCGTCAGTAACCACATCAACTCCAGTGGCCACTACCAGTACCACACGGTGCACAAGGACTCCGGCTTGTACAAGGAGCTGCTGCACAAGCTGCATCTCGCCAAGGTGGGCGACTGCATGGGAGACTCTGGTGACAGACCCTTGAGGCGCAACAACAGCTACACTTCCTATACTATGGCGATCTGTGGCATGCCTCTGGATTCATTCCGTGCCAAAGAAGGGGAGCAGAAGGGCGAGGAGATGGAGAAGCTGACGTGGCCGAACACGGACAGCAAGAAGCGAATTCGAATGGACAGTTACACCAGCTACTGCAATGCAGTGTCAGACATCCACTCGGCCTCTGAGATGGACGTGAGCAGCAAGGTGGAGATGGGCCTGGGCGACAGGAAAGGGAGCGGCAGCTCTCTGGAAGAATGGAACGACCAGGACAAACCAGAAGTGTCTCTCCTCTTCCAGTTCCTGCAAATCCTCACGGCCTGCTTCGGTTCGTTTGCCCACGGTGGCAATGATGTCAGGTCAGTGGCTTTGAAGTTTCACATCTCTCTCTGTTCACACTGCTCGCGTTTTCATAAGGCTGAGCTTGTGGCCGCGATGCTGGTGCTGTCTGTGGGGCTCTGAGTGTCTAGGTAGGATGAGGCAATAGCAGTTGTTGACTTAACGAAACAAGCAGCAAAATTTTTGTCTTTGGAGAAATTCTTTGGATGATAAACACAGATATTGTTTAGAGAAGTCTTTTTGTCTGTGGAGGCGGGACCCAGTTTGATAAGAAATTTGGGGATGTAAGATGGAAAACTTACATTAATTCCCTGAGGGGTGAGTTTGCCATTGGCCTTGATTCTGTGGTTCACAAACTGTCGCTGGAGCCCCTGGGTGCTTTAGGCTCCCTGTGGGCAGACGGGCCCCACTAGGCATGGGGCCCCCTCTGAGCAGCTCCCCTTCCCTTCTGTTCTGTACGTGGCCGCCCTTCATTTCCTGTGAGACAGACCTGTTTGCTAAGCGAGCTTCAAGCTTCACTCAGGACAACTAGTAAGTTACGCAAGAAACTGGAGCTCGCCATTTCTGCCTGAAAAGCTATCTCTGCTCTCATTTTTCTTTCAGCAACGCCATTGGCCCTCTGGTTGCTCTGTATCTGGTTTATAACACAGGAGATGTGCGTTCCAAAGAAGCATCTCCGATATGGCTGCTGCTGTATGGTGGCGTTGGGATCTGTATCGGTCTGTGGGTCTGGGGGAGGAGAGTCATCCAGACCATGGGCAAGGACCTGACGCCGATCACACCCTCTAGGTAAGCCAGGCACACGGGCCTCGTTCCTGAGGTGCGCGGTGCTGTGTGGTGCCGCCACACCAGTCACTGTTTAGGTGAAGTAACCCAGCTTGTAGAAGCTTCTGACGTTCTCGTTGCTGTGAACTATTTAGATTTTACTTACTGTCTGGCCCTTAAATCTAATTTTGCTCAAATACTTATCAGCTCCACTGGTCTCACAACAGAATTAATTTTTCCTGAGGAAGATAGGTGTGCTAAGAGTGAATTGCTGTGCATACTCAGCCTTTGTTTTATTTGGGAGCCAAAACTGATGTTTTCCAAATTCTTAAAGGGTAAATGTTTTTAATGGGCTTCCAGAAAATCTTAAAACCTCAAATGTTAGAGAAAAGGGAGAAGAGAATTCCCAAGAACTGATGGAAAGTAGATTTTAAAGACTTCTGGCAAAGTAAAAGGGTCCGTGGAGGCCTTATGCCGAGTGGGCGCAGTGAGACAGCACTCGTTGTGAGGCGGTGTTAGCTCGCGCAGGAGTCCCAGTCCAGCCTTGACTGTTGACCATCGTCTCTTTGTGTCTGCAGCGGCTTCAGTATTGAGCTGGCATCTGCCCTCACTGTGGTGATCGCATCCAACGTCGGCCTTCCCATCAGCACCACACACTGTAAAGTAAGTGGGTGGCATGTGCCACGTCATTTGAATGATTCTGGGAATAGGTAGGCTTTTTTCCCCAGATACTTTGGTTTAGAAAGTTTTACACAGTGGAGCGTTGAAGAGTGCAAAGTTTAGGATATGTGTCAAGAATATGAAGGCTTACATTTTATAATTCCTTGTGTCTGTTACTCTTACTGAGGCAGAGAATGCAAATTCTCCCCAGATGATGCAGAAGTCCTTTCACGTGGAGCCAGCAAGTCTGTGAGGCCTGCTGGGCAGTTGAAGGGCAGTGTATGTAGGGCCCATTGGGACTGAAGCACATACGCACGTATTGAGCCCTAAGGTTGCTTGGTGACCATGTAGTCACTGCAGGGACAGGAAGACACACTTCCCTAAAGGGGGAGTTGAAGTTGGCTGGTCATGGAGCCTGTGAGTCACCCTTTTCTCTCAGGATCTCTTGCCAGGTGATTGGCTATTAGGTCTAATATCAGCCTCCCTCTAGAACAATCTCTGGAAAACCTACAGCTTAAAGTAACCTATAAAGCAGCTAATTATTATTAGTGCAGTTCATTCAATTCCACTAACTTGGAAGAGAAAAAGGAAGTGTTCCTTTCCTATCATACTTTACCCCAGTTAGGAAATTTAATGATTGGGTTTTCATGTTGCCTTCATCCTCCCACCAGCAATCTCCTTAACCGATCACAAACCAGCTTTCCTGGGCTGGGTCCAGTTCAACAGTCTGGGGTTCTTTACCTACTTTAGGTCATGTGTCTCTTTATTACCAGGCTACCACTGGCACTTTGGTAACCATTGGTAACCAGTTCCCTTGCTTGTTTTTCTCCTAGGTGGGCTCTGTTGTGTCAGTTGGCTGGCTCCGATCCAAAAAGGCTGTCGACTGGCGACTTTTTCGCAACATTTTCATGGCCTGGTTTGTCACAGTCCCCATTTCCGGCCTAATCAGCGCTGCTATCATGGCGGTCTTCAAATACGTCATCCTCTGACCCTGACCAGCGGCTCAGTGGGGCGTTGTCCTGCAAAGTGACAAGTTGCCAGTTCGTTTCCTGGTCAGGGCACGTCCCTAGGTTGCAGGTTCCGTCCCTGCTCAGGGCACGTGTGAAAGGCAACCGATCAATGTTTCTCTCCCTCTCTCTCCCTCCCTGCCTCTCTCAAAAAATAAATTAAAAAAAATGTTATCCTCTGAGCGGGAAGCCATTTGAGATGAGAAACGTGCCATTGTTGGGCCACCTTAGCATTCCTGCTTCTCTGAATGACTGCAGTGTTACAGAAGACCCAGGACAATCTTCAGAATTTGGGAGCTGTGAGAAGTGTTACTTGTGCTACAGTTGCTTTTGTGCTAAATATGACTTGTCTCAAAATTAGCTATTTAAATAGCCAGGTCTCCACTGGTTTCTATTGGCTGTGACTTCCTGTACATATTTATCTACTTTTTGTACCCAGCTGCAATTCCATTATGTTTTAATGAAGATAACTTGTGATTTTTTTTAATGCCATTCAGAGCCATTTGACAATGTGCTCTGCTTGGCAGTGTCACCAGCTTCTGCCCAAACATGCACAGGGACTTAACAACAAAAATGTACCTGAAGCTTCCCTTGTAGCCTCTTAGACAAATAGTCCCTTGCACGCTGCCCTCCTGTCGGCAGTGGTAGGTCCTGCTGGTGTCTGTGGGAACTTGTGGAGGGACGAAGTTCTTGGGCACAGTGAGACTTTAAATTAGTAACTCTTTGCAACCAATTTATTGACTTGTTGCCACGAGGAGGTAGGAATAAAAGCCTCTGGCAGTCGTGGTTGTTTCTTTAGGATTTCCGGCAGTGTGGGATGGATGAATGAATGGAGTGTGAACTTTGGGCAAGTTAGATGGGACAGCCTTTCATGTTCATCTGTCTACCTCTTAACTGAATAAAAAAGCCTACAGTTTTTAGAAAATTTGTTTTCGTGGTTTTTGTTGTGTGTGAAGCATGGGGTTCCTGATCAGCTGATCTGACGCCGTTAACAAGTAGGACCTACACTCAATGTCAAGTTCCCCACTCCTCCCTGTCACGGTTCCTGTGGTCTCAGGACACCTGACACCCACCTCGGGGCTACCGGAAGTGTGGCGTTTTCCCTTTAAACATTTTTTAAAAAAACATTTTTCCAATTACATTTGATATTCAGTCTTGTGCTAATTTCAGATATATGCATTTTTTTTCTTTAAGTAGCACAGCCTGGACATTTTCACGTTGGCACATGCAGATGTACTCACTTTTTAACATCCACAAAGATTCCTGTTCGAACGGACTATTTTATGATTGTTTCTAGCTTTGCTATTACAACAAATGCTCCAGTGTGTGTGTGTTTGGTGGTCTCAGTTTTATTTAAAAATTCTCAATGTTGGGTTTCTCAGTCCTGACCATTATCTTTTACCCTTGGTCAGGATTCTTAATGGAAAGTGTTGCTTTGCACACTAGGTTGATGGTTTCTGCCCTGAGAGCTAGTTTTGGGAGGATGTTTGTGGCAACCAGACTGGAACAAGGATAAGGTTCTGCCTGCCTGCCTGACCCTCAGGCGAGGGATCAGACCACTGGCTGTGTACTCGCGTGGAGCCGCGCAGACCGAGTGTTCGTTAGGCCCTGCACTGAGCTTCTGTGCACATGTAGTCCTTGGGACCTGCATAGGTCTCACCCTTATTTTACAGCTGATGAAAGAGGCCTGGAGAATGTCTATGTTTTACAATGTATTTTAGCAGAAAGTGGAAATTAGTTTTAGCCTTTGGGGCTGGCTGGTGTTTGAGGAAGGAAGTGGGGCCATGGTAAAGGGGAAGCTGGTACTGTGCCCAGAACTGAGGGTTGTGGAGGGGACCCTCTGAGCTTCGGTCCTGGTTTCCTCTCCTGGAGCCAGATGACCTCACACTGCCCAGACCCTGTCTGCCCTTTGATTAAGTAGAGAATAGTAACCCTCGCCATCCTCCCAGTGGCTGCGGGAGGGACAGCTGGGAAAAGACTAGAACCAAGGTTGTGAAGAGCAGCTAGACCTGGGGGAGAGGATCCCAGGAACAAGGGAGAGACCAGAGAAAGCGATTCTGCACAGCATGATGCCCGCCATGGCCAGGGACATGTGCTCGTGGGAACCCTTACCTAGTTTAATTCCGCACGTATATTGCCTTTTAGTAACTGCCCCCTTCCCCCAAAAAGTATTTTTTTGTTTGTTTGTTTTTTAAATGAAGGTCATATGTGTGCATATTAAGGAGTCAGGTGGTTCAACAAGGCTTGTAACAACAATGGGTCTGCCACTACCATTTTCAACTTTCCTAAGGCTTTCAGTCCTGGTAACCTCTGTCTCAGTGATGTTGAGTTCAGACTTCCCTTTGCATACACAGACCCTAACCTCTCACCTTCACTGTATAACTGAGTCTTAGTTTTGGTAAGATCAGTATTCTGAGTATTTAAAAAGTGCCAAGCTGCTGACTCATACAGTGACTATACTGGGATGGCTTCTCCTGACATTTTGTTTTTCCTGCAGTAAGTTATCTTTTTGTTGTTAATTGTCACTAATTCATCTCAAACTCCACTGGTGGTCTGATTTTGTCTCAGGACCTTCACAGGCCACAGGAGTGGCCTCCATCACTTAGGGAAGCCTCCCTCCCAGCTTCTGATCTGCTCCAGTCCAGACAGGTTACATGTCTGGACTGGAATCTTCCTTATCATTCTGGGGATTTCTTTTGTCTTGTGTTTTAAATGGCTCATTTCCTGTAACCCATTCTTCTCCCCTCTCTCTCTTTGTTTATACCCTTATTTTGTGGAGAATACCCCCTAGCAGCATCTTGAGAAGTGTTGGGGAGGATTTTTTTGAGACTGCATCTGGATGTGTTGTTTTATTCTATGTTCACATTTAGTTGACAATTTATAGAGTCTGGGTTGGAAATAATTCCCCTTCAGAGTACTGATGGTACTGCGCTACGTGCTGCTGTGCAAGTTCACATCCTATCTGATGACTTTGTGCATGTGACCCACTTTCCTCCTGGAAGCTCTTTGGGATAGTTACTCCTTAGTGTTGGAAATCTGACCGTGAAACTAGTTTATATTTCAATGGGCTGACTACCTCACTCCTTTGAAGCCCAGAAATCCACATCCTTCTGTTCCCAGAACTTCCTGAATTACCTTGGTATCCTCCACACCTTTCTTTCTTTCCCCCTAATTTCCCAGTTTTTTTGCTCAATACATTTTTGTTTCTCTACCTTGTCCTTCACAAGGACAATGTCCTACTTTGTGGATGCAGTCAGTATCTTTTTTTTTTAAATAATGATACTTTTAATCCATTAAAATGCTTCTTATTTTTCACTCTGGCTTTTTGCTGTGGCCTGTGTCACACCAAAGGCTTTCCTTGACTGTGTCATCTCGTATTTAAGAGCCGACCGAAACGCTGGTGGGAAACTCAGTGCATGGGAGGCACACCTGACACTGCCGGGCCTTTGTCTCAGGCAGTGGTTCTCAACTAGTGGTTTTTCTTCCCCTGCCCCCCAGAACATGTGGCGATACTGAGTTTTGGCTGTCACAGTTGGAGGATGCTTCTGGCCAGAGATGTTATAAACACCTTCCGGTATACAGGGGCAGCCCCCACAGCAAAGGATTATCTGTTTAAAATGCCCAAAGTGTTGAGGTAGAGAAGCCCTGGGCTAGGGCGATCTGCTGGACTGTTTCTTGGGGGAATCCCGGAGAGCAGTCAGGTCCCGGTCTGACTCTCAGAGCTGTGGAGCTGGGGGAGAAGAGGTCGCTCTTCCTTGTGTACAGTTGCGAGTACACAAAACAGTTTATCTTTGTATTATTATGTACTAGTTACTGTATTAGTTTCCAGATGAACAACTGTAAAGCCACTTTTGCCTCACCCTGTATTTGTACCTCCCTTTTTTCAGCGTGGGTAGTTCTGGCTGTGTGGCTGCAACATGTATGAATTTGATACCACAGTTTGGGTAAATACCCCAGTGACCCAATAACATGGTTCAAGTTTCAGCTGCTGTGGTGCACTAATGGTAAGCGCGTGCACGATGTACCAACGTGAATGCTGGCTCTTCAGTCCAGAAGTCGCATTTGCAGAACAGATGCGCATCAGCATCAATGACCTGACGCATCTGCTGGCTATGGGCTGCTGCGCATCCGTTACTCCGTTCACTCACAGATGACAGAGCTCCTGCCGGTGTCTCCTCCTGTTCTCCCGACAGTAGAGATGCTGCAGGCATGATGCTTTCAGCAGCACTGATGGGCTGGCTCCAGATTCTTGTAGGGGCTTGAATGAAATTGTGAAAACATGTTTTTACTATCAAACACATCTCTCACCGATTCATCCAGTGGACAAAAAGTTTATTTCAACTCTTCATGGACTTTGGGACAGGTTATCGATGCTACAACTGGAGATTTTGCAATTTCTTTAGCTGAGGCTTGGAAGCAATTGAAAGCATTAGAGCAAGAAGTGACGGTCACACACAGTGTGGCAGGGTTCACACTGAACGGAAACGGACTTGTGTGTGAAGCTGGAGGGCTGACGCTGCTGCTGCCTGGGAGGAAACTGGTGAAGGTGACCTCCCTGGCGCGAGGGAGGAAAGGGATGAAAAGGGCGCAGTGTCTGGAGGAGGAGGCTGCCTGCGGCTGCTCATGCAGGTTTCTTGGCGGTGGTTCACAACAGCGAAGGAAAGCTGTTATGTAGGAAGTCCATCCCCAAACACTTTAACCCTGGTAGTTCTGATGATTTAAACTGCAGTGTACTAAATAATAGTTTTGCTACTATTTGATTTCCGCTCACATTTATGACTCACTTTTTTAAAATGTTTTGACAAAATATTTTAAAGCTTGTAGGACAACCATTCTACCCATTGACTATTAGGTCACCTCGTGGAGTCACGTTTGCAGGCGACGGCCGCTTTTGCATTACTTGCCCTCAGCTCTGACTGCTGCTACCCACCCAGGGACCTCCTGTCGTGCCCTTTATGAAATACATGTCCAGCTAATGCCCCATGGAGGGCAATGCCTGACTGCAGCAGGGCATGGGGCCTGGGGGCTGAATTGTTGCTGCTTATAAAGTTTTAATTGCACAGACTTTAAATGTGCCCCAAAATAGAAGAGTACTGAACCCTACGTGCCACATGCCCATCACCCATCTCCTGCAACAGCATTCTGCTCTGGTTTCTGCTCCTCTTCCTTACACTTTTTAAAAATTTTTACCTGAGGACATTTTTTTTAATTGCTTTTTTAGAGAGAGGGGGAGAGAGAGAAACATCCATGTGAGAGAGAAACAGCAACAGGATGTTCCCCCAATCCTGTCTGTGCCCCAACTGGGGATCAGGCCTGCAACCCAGGCGTGTGCCAGGGAATTGAATCCTCAGCCTGTTGCTTTACAGGATGATGCCCAACCAACAGCCATACCGGCCAGGGCTCACTAGCATTTTCTACTGGAGTATTTTAAACCAAACATCATCTCCCCTGTACATTATGTGAGGATATGTCCAGAAGATAGTGTTTTGTTTTTAAATGTCACCACAAGGTGCCCTGGCTGCTCCCTAGACTCCCACCCATTCTGGTTTCCCCCGCATGTCTCTTCTGGAGTTACCTGTTCTCTGGTTCAGAGCCTTTCAGGGGCCAGCGTAGCCTCGGCCGTCTCTGGTTGGCCACCTGTTCCCATGTGCTGTCCAGCTGCCACACTTGTGTGGTTCTGTCTTTTAGCCCTATGACTGTCCCTTATTGCCATTTTGGTGGTGTTTCAGAGGGATTTTAACGTAAATGTTTCAATCTGTCTTTACCTAGGAATTCTTGACTAATTGATATTTTAGTAATTTTTTTAAAGTGAAAAATCTATTAGAATGTTTAAATTGAAAATATTTTTGAACAGTTAAGCATATCGGGTGGAGGGTGAGGGACCCCTTGCTTGCTCTTCCATGTCCCAGTCCCGTTACCCAAAGG